CTTTCCCATGGATTTTAGGTACTTAGCTCCTGGGTATCAAGCCAGATTGAGGAATGCACAACTCTTCAAGTACTGTAAGAATCTGTGCAGACACAGCATCACACAAAAGCTTTGTGAAAAACACAGGAATAGAATTATACTTTTTAACAAGACATTTTTCTGCCCGAAACATAAAATCACCTTCCTAATCTTCCCACAGTTCTCATCCTCATTAGTAACATACTCTGCAACAAAGGAGGTAGGAGTTTCTGCACTTCACAATGATATGCACCCAAGTCCTCCCTGTGCAGGGTACAAAGAAGAGACCATGCAGAAGATAAAGAATGCAGCAGCATAGCTGCAGATGGTCATAATACATATCCTTGACACTGCGATGAATTTTTTTTCTGGACAGTTCTTCCATTGTGTAATAGAAACACTGCTTTAAAGAAGAACTAGAAACATATGTTCAGCACAAGCGACACTGTCAAATGATTGAGATACTAAGCATAGGAAGTTTGTTTGAAAAAAAGACCAAGAAAAGCAAATAAGTAACAGACACTTGGCTGAGCACTACTTTCATTTCAGGGACATAGTCGAAAAATTTTAAAGTTCTTTGTGCACTGCTCGTAATTTCAGCCCTACAGATGAAACAGACTATGGGAAAGCAACTGCTTTCTTTCATCAAGCCCATCAGCTTTAGGTGAAAAAGACAGGTTGAACATTTTGCAGTATTAATATATTAAAGTACCTTCATACTAAAGTAGCAACAAGATTAAAATAATGTATTTCTAATGTAGTTTTAATGCTAACACTGAATTATTTTAAAGTTTTTGCACATATGTTATAAGTTATCTTATTTCCCACCCCTCTCCATTTGGCCAAGACAAAGTTATGCAGCTGAAGAGAAAATAAAAAATTCAACAGCTAGAATATTAAATGCAGTTCTTCATGTATTCTTGCATAAGTGACAGTAGCTGATTTGCTCTGAATTTTAATGACAACTGTTCTTTGAAATTTTGGTACCCTTATCTTAATTTCAATCTCAAATCCAGGCAAGCTAGATACTATGTTTTGATTTCCTTATTAAACTGAAATCCATTAAGGCTGTGAGGGTATTCTTGGCTTGTGAATTTGCTATCTTTGCAGACAAGCAGGATACTGGTTCCTTTGGTCATGCTAAAAATGCAGTCCACATAAAAGTGACAAAAAGGAAAAAACACACATCACCGGTGTGATACAGGCTGTCACTGCCAGTAGGGTGGCATGAAAGCATGGCTCCAAGACATATCACAGTTGCTGTAACGATATACTTATATGATAAAAAAGGCATAAAAGCAAAGCATTATAATATTTATCGTATTTAGGGTGTGCTGTCAATCTGCAATATATGAAGTTAATTTAGCATTTAGGCTTCAAAATTCAAGTAGAGTAACGTTACAGCAAACAAGTGCCAACCAAAGTGAGCCTACTGGCATACAGGTGAATTGCAAGGGTAAACTGATAGCTTGTGGTTGCACCAGAATCTGCCACATACAGACATGTGTGAGCTTCCAGCTGCTGCTTGCTGAGTCACAGCTTGTCTTATAATTTGATATAAAGAAAGAATGTATTGACTTCTTTTAGAAGCTGAAGTAGAGGATGAGGAAACAGCAACTAACTAATAAAGGTAAAGAAGAACATGTCTTAATGATGTGAAGAGACAACCCTGTCCCAAGCACTATCAGCAACCTACAAATTAGGCTTGTTTCCATTCTGATTTAGTGGTATAAGCATTCATGTGGTAACTATCACTGAAACATCTGAGCACACTTTACAAGCACAGTAGCAAACATTACCAGCTCTCTCAAATAGGAGCCCACACTCTGACTCCATCCAGCACCAAATCTGTTTGCCTTAAGAACTGCAGAAAACTATTCAAGTAGGTTATGGAGATCAGAGACTTCCTGAACCAGATGTTACCAGAGAGTTGAAGAAATGAGCTCTACATCTTGTTCTCATTGTAAGCAAGTTTTGGCCCAGAAGATGATCTTCGATATCTGACTGGGCTGTTCAAAGCAAAATCCTTGGCATGCACCTGCCTTTCTAATGCTTCAAGAGGCAAAACAAACGCATCGGAGGTTATTCACAGGTCTACAGCGCTGAACGTACCAAGTCCTCTGCTGTTACTGGCTCTCCTTTCTTGTTATTAGCCACCACCATTTTCCCAAGCCTTTCCTTCATGTCTTGCAGGCTGGTGGTAAGTGCCAGGATGGCCATAATTTCACTTGCAACAGCAATATCAAACTGAGCCTGTAAAATAGAAATAAGGATCATGAACCAAGTCAAATACTCACAGGGAATCATCAGGAATAAACTCAGGAAAGACAGATTTCATACTGAAATTCAAATGAGTTCTAAAAATGTAACCCACAGCTTTTGAGATTACTCAGACTAGAGTAACTTTGTTCATAGTCCCTCATTAATGTTCTCTGTTACACTTCATTTACTTCGGGACCAGTCTGGCAGAGTGCTTAATTCCTTGGCTTACTTTATCCTTACCAGAAGCTCCCTGAAGGACCAAGAATTCTTTTTCTGTGGCAAAAAAGAAAATCACCAGATGTGTTTTGAGCTTTACTGGCATGAGTACAGAATTGTGTTGGTTTTTGTTTTGTTTTGAATTTTTTTTAATGCTCTCCAAAAGTGTTTTAGTCTTGTTTCAAAAACATTCTTGTTTCATTTGATCATTCTTTTTCTACACAAACTCAAAACTTTAATTCTGTGCTGCTAGGTCTTGTGCTTGACCTATGATAATGTAAAATATATCTTTGTTCCCCCCATTTTTTAAAAATGAACAAATATATAAGTTAAAAAAACCCATCAAGAACTATATGTGGCATAAGTTCTATTGTTCTTGTAGACATACATTCAGACAGTATTTCAGCACAACATAAACTGTAGCCCCTACTTCTCTTTAAGAACTTGCAGTATACATTAGCAGTATTTGTACTAATTTACTATTAGTAAAGCCCAGGCGCATACTGTCAAAATGTAAACAGAGAAGGAAGACAAAGTCACTAATGTATTACGTGAGAGGAATGCAATGTTGGGGGTGAACAAGAACTACAGCTTCTATAGTAATCTCTCCATATTCAGCGATTAAAGTCTACACAAAAGTTTAGTAATTTTCTGTGTCAGAACTCTACCAGATGTATCCCATACTGACTAATACCAGATGAATCTGTACTAATTGAGGGTGTTGCCTGTTTTTAAGAAGCATCTACATGGTGAGTTCTTCAAGATATAATTTTCACCATTCCTATACATTTGCCTAGTAATTTAACAGCTTTTGCCTTTTTTTAACCTATATTCCTGTTTTTAGGTTCTGTCTTGACAGCTACATTCCAGGGTAGCCCTATTCATACTGACCTCTATGTACCTGCATGTTAATCTAAATTTCTGAAGACACTTGAGCACTTTTATGCATTGGGCACAGAGAGGAGAGATATATACCACATAAACCAAAAAAATAATCCTGTAATTGAGATTTTCAGCATAGGGATTCAAATAAAATGCTGAAGTTACAAAGAAGATTTTCTGTATTTCCTAGAAGCAGTTCTATACATAGCAGAATAGCTGGGTACACAGTGAACACCGTCAGCGTTGCGATGACATGGATGCTACTTTTCTAAATGCTCCTGGTAAGTCACTGCAGCATATATAAGACAGGAAATAAATCTGAGAAATCTATGCCCAAAATGAATATTGGAATACTGTCAATTTTTATCTGAATATCAGGAGACAAAAAAAAAAAAAAAAAGGTTTTTATTGTAATTGTTTCCCTATAAACCCCAAAAGACAGGAAAAAGAATCCTAGGTAGATGTTCAAAGAGTGACACAATATTTAATTGAAAACACAGGCACAAAAGACTGTGGTAGCAGGTGCTATTTTAACTCTAATAACCTTTATACACCTATGAACTGCTGACAGAAGCCTTAGCTGTAAAGTTCGTTCTCTATTGATGAAAGGATCCACCCACATGAATTCAATTGCAGGATCAAGGGCATCAGTCATGTAATACTCTTTAGAAACCACAGCATCCCTGTTCATTAAAATGCAGTTTTGTGCCTGCTGTGCTCTGCCATTTTACACAGGTGTCATTGATTTTAAGAGTGCTAGAACATCACTCCAAATATTCATAAAATGCATCTGTTAACTATGAAGTACTGTTTTCTCTGGATCTCTGGCTAGGCTCTGAAATGAGTTTTCCTAACTGTTCTCTATTTCTTGAGTCACTAAGTCCACATTAAGATGCGAATGGATATGCATCAGTCCAACACATCAAAACTGAAAGCATCAAGGTCATCTTAGCCAAAACAGTACAGAAGCAACATTTGACAGACATATATCAACTAGTACTCTACAATAAAACAACCCATATTTAACTCAGCAGCATAATTACAGTGGTAAAATGCTGCGCAATAAGGCTGTCAGAACCTGGCTCAAAGCTAATAATCACACTGAGTCACTGAAATAAATCTAAACATAGGAAAATATCTCAAGTGTTGAAGGAACTTGTACCAACTATAATATTTTGTAGTTCCAGACCATTATCGGAGATGAGTATTAGCTAATACTGAATTTTCTGTAAGTTATAGACAGTAAAGTCTCTACTCTGTGTGTTCAGAACCAAAAAAAGTGAGCATTTCTAGTGGGAGGTGTCCCTGCTCATGGCAAGTGGGTTGGACTGGATGATCTTTAAGGTCCCTTCCAACCCAAACCATTCTATGATTTCTCTCTCAAGTTTTTCTCTCCAAATTGACTGTTCTACCTATTGAATTGAGCAAGAATATTAATGCTGTTTTTTGGCCTCTGTACTCAGGCACAAAATTTAGAAGTGATGGTTTGAAATCTAGTCTGAAATGATAAAGATTAAAGACAGGATTTGCAAAATTAATGAAAGCCTTATCTAAACCACAAAAGCTATTTATGTCACCTCAAAACAGCCAGAACCTCAGTGTTAGATCTGCACCAAATTAGGAGCAACTCTACATCATCACAATGAGTTTGTTCTTCTTGGCACTGCTGTTCCACACTGCACTGTTTCAGAACTGTATTTACTCACATGACATCAGGAACTCTTGTTCAGATAGTGTTGGAAAAGTCTGACTTTCAATTTATCTATAAGTTCTTTAATAAGCTTCCAGAAGCTCTCATACAGTAACGTAAGTTAGTCTTTAGCACTGCTGAAAAGTACACACATGCTCATTTTCTGACCTATCCATTCAAGCCTGGATGTAAAAATTAGGCACATGTTTAAAGTTCTTATAGTTTAGATCCCAAACTTGAAATGCATGATAGGGAAACTCTGAACAAAAGTTAATGGTCATTTTCAGTTTTCACCAGTGGGACCATCAACACATGACCCACCCCTCTCCCCAGTTTTTAAACATTAAATTTAAATACAACTTATATAGTTTGAGGGACTCAAGTAAGAAAAATATACAAAGTAACCTTATGAGGGCATAAGGGCCCATTTTATACTCATAGGATGACAATGAAATTTTTTGCAGGTGCTTTCAATACACTGTGCAATATGCATTGATTAATGTTTCTGAAACATCGGACTCAGTTACTCATTAACACTATTATAGTTTCACTGCAAGAACATTATACAACAGCAACAGATGTCAGCATGGCAATTCAAAGAAGTATGCTGAAAGAACTGAAGAAACATCTCCCAGCCTCTAAAGCAAAGTCTGTCCAGAATGAGATATATTAACTGCCTTTACATACCTGACGGACAAATCTTTTCTCTGTATTTGCCTGTCCAACTGTTATTTTGCGCAGGAACCTGTCATTTGTATCCACCACTGAAATAAGAAAACAGCAAAAGCAAAATGTGTTAACAAGAGCTCATGGATATGGATGTTTTTCAAGGCATCCCTTTGTTATACGTGTAAGATTCAGTTATTTGAACAGCATAACTAGACAGCCATGCTCCTGCACGTTACCATTAGTACTGACTTGGTTTTTTCCCTTTTAATTGATGCCATCAGAGGACAGGTTGGAATAAATACAATTTCTCTGAACAGTTTTTGACACTAACAGATTCTTAACACTGTAACATATAAAGTAATATTTTACCTGCATTAGAAAAATCTGTCTTAGTATGTACAATGCACCTCAGACCTACCTCAAATCATTTGCTTTGTCACTGACTTGTTAAGAATTGATTTTAAGACAGTATAATGTAGGTTAAACTTGGTCTGATTTGCTTTTAAAGGATGATTACATTGTCAGATTAGTTCTTCCAGACAAGTCACTTTCTTGCCCATCACAGTAACTAACTCCACATTCAGCTGCACAGCATTCAAAGGAAGTTATTTTCCAACTGTCAAGACCAACCATCTGCTATTTAACACAACTTCAACTTCAGATAATTGTATTTCTAACCTGGAAACACTTTTGGTATTGCAAGGGCATGTCCAAACTATCTTGTGGAATTGCTAACTTCACTAACAATCATTGTAAGCTAGGTTCTGCAATTCTGCACTGACAACACTCAATTTCAAATATGCTTTTGTAGAAACCAAAAGGCAATACTAAGAATAATCAAAGAGCTCTCTCATCTGCTGAGAACTGATCACAAGGCTTTTAAGGAAGAAACATTACAAGGATGTTTCTGTTTGTGAGAAAACTAGACCAAACTCCAAGACCTCTCCTTTCCAGGAATGGCAATGCCTACAGAATATAAATAGGCTCCCTCTTTCTTACAGGCTCTTTAGCCCTACAAACGTTTCAATTTGCATCTACCCTAAAAGAAAGGATGAAAGGTACTCTTGATCCATTCAGCATGTAGCTTGGCAATCAAGTCAATCTTTCGGTAAATCTGAGTCCTGTTCATTTAGAGGAAGAGAAACAAGGAACCTCTGGAGAAGTTATCTGTACTGAAGGTCAGTGAAATCACCTGCTGCTTTTGGAGATTAATGAATTTGCCTGTACAGAAAAGGATGATGACATAATTCCCCAAGAATAAGAAGGACTTTGAATCTCAGTCCTACACAACCTCAGTTCAGGGTTGTGAGTGAACTGGGAGAAATGCAAGATTTAAGCTACTTCCCCTTCTTGGACATTTCTCATGGGGCTGTTGTAAATACCATACGTGCCTTTTCCCACTGCATGGTATTTAGGCCCCTAATTTCCTCAGGAATTCTGCTTGAGGGATGGTGCAACACAGATTTGGTTAACTCACTTTGGTTTCTGTTTATATACAGTCATACTTTAAAATACTCTAAAGTACTGGCAGAAATTGCAGAACAGAGTACATGGAAACAGTAGCCTCATACCAAGCTGTGGTACCATATGTCACTGTAAAGCCATATGGCAAGCTGATCTCTCAAGCACAAACTTACCCCCTTCTCCTCTTAGGAAGCTCAGTCTCTGCCTTAAGCAGACCTAAATCTCTTTCCTGCCTACCCAGGTGCTGCTGAGAGCAGGAATTAGCCTTCCCACCAGCCTGGACAGGCAATGAGCTGCCTTTTATCTGGCCCTTCCTTGTGAAATCATGCAACCTGAACACCATTACCATGAAATTATATCTATCTTTGCAACTCTTTCTTATCACTGGGACACACTGGCTTTCTCACCTTGGTCAGAATTTGTTCTTCAGGAAGATTCCAATAGCTGCACTTAGAAGTAGTACGATAAGAAAGATTATTTTTTTGCCACAAAAGCAATTTTTCCTTTTCCAGATTTTTCCTCTTCCTTACCCAAAGTCAATGTTTCAGGAAAGCTTAGGTTCAACCAAGTGTTAAGTTTAATGTATCTACTTCCTTATCCTCTAGATATATAAACAGGATCTGAATACCAGGGGAAGGTTAAGTAGGGGGAAGCTTTCCTTCTCTTCAGCATGTTGCACCTGTTCCAGTTAGTACAAGATGAAAATGAATTTTAAGCTTGTGACACATTTAAGGAAACAGGTCTTGACTAAAATTAATCTTCAGATAATCTGATAGTATTCTCTTCTGCCATAAAAATTCCCTGGTACGTAACAAGCTTCTCAGACACATGGATTGCAGAAACAGTCCCAAACAAAACATTTTCCAAGTTACCTGAAACAGTTCTAAAAACATTTTTTTTCTTAAATGTTCAAAATATGTATATGTAATGTAATATATACATGTAATGTAAAATATTATATAGAGTTGTGTGGAATAAGAAGTTTCACTAACATTGAGATTACTTAAATAATGCACTTGAGGTTAACAGCAGTTGAGTAGAATCATGGAATCGTTATGGTTGGAAAAGGCCTTTAAGATCAAGTCCAACCATTATCTAACTCTTTCTACCATGTCCCCTTCTAAACCATGTCTGTGAGCACCATTATCTAGATGGCTTTTAAATACATCCAAAGGTGGTGATTTTATCAGCCTCATCTTCCTGATTGGGTATTCTGTAACAAACTCCCACTGTAATGTTGCATCCTCCCAAACCTGTGCTGATAGAAACAATGAGTTGTATTACACTAAATATTTATATTATTCCTTCATCCTAATACAGGTCTGTTCCATGTAGACACACTGTGTGACTAATAAAAAACATCTTATGCCACATTCCCCAGTATTATCTTGAGAAAAATATCCAAAGTCTGAGATTACATGCACACAAAGGGCACAATAAAGCATGGCTGAGACTCTTCACTTCTCAACAGATTCACCTTATTCACTCTGAGCATCATGTAACATTCCATTTAACAAGGATTTTGAACTAATAACTTTGGTGTTTGAGAACTTAGGAAGAAAATTAAATCCAATGGAATTTAGTTCAAGACTTCATGCAAAGCTTACTTGCTTAAAAAGAGATACAGAAGTTGAGGTGAACACTGAAACTTAGCCCGACATTAGAACTGTAAAATGCAGAAGGGACTTGTCCAAGGGTGTGAGAGTGGATATTGGTTTGCTTGGCATACGTAGTTGAAACTGTACCACATCTTTCACCTCTTCTTCCTAACAAAGCAAACAACTCAAGACACACTAAAAAAATCACATAGTCTCTGAGACATATTTAGTCTCTGAGCTATTTAGGTGGCTGAGCTGGGGAGGATGAAGGACCAAAATCGAGTAAGAACAACCAACCTAAAACCATACTAGACACAGTTAAGAAAAGAATGGATAAGATTTGTAAAATGTACAGAAAAGCCACTTTCATGTTTTAAGATATATTATCTAATGTGAAAGAGACAAAGGACATACTTAAGCTGTCAGAGCAACCTATCCTTCAGAATATTAGCAAAGTCTCTTGAGTTACTACTGATACTTTATCAAGTTTAGAGCAACATACTGCATCCAAATTTGTTACACACCTCCATTTCCCACTCGCAAATGAGTTGTTCTTACCATCAGAGAGCAGAAACAGCTCTGATACAGGTAAAGTTAAGCAAATAAGGAAATGAGTTATGATTAAATCCAGGCGGAAGTGAGGCTTTCTGACCACATACCTCTTTGCCATGTTATGGTAGATGGGTCAATATCAAGGCGTGAAAATTGGCTGATCTCCTCTTCTGTTAAAGTCCCAGGATCAGTCTTGTTTATTCCAAGCCTCTATACAGAAACAAGTTAAAGAAACACAATGAAGTGGCTTTTTTACTTCAAAAGGTATAGCTGCTCTGGCTGATCAACCCCACTTTCAGCAAGCGTTTTGTAAAGAAGTATGTCAGGACCAAAACTATTTAAGAAAAAAAAAAAAGGCCAGAGGAAACCATCTGTAACTAAAATAGGGGTAAATGTAGATGTTGAAATGAAACAAGAAAGGAGAAACACAGGCCATTAGATTAACAGTATTTTCTTATATAGAAGAAACTCCTAATGTAAACCAAAGAGAAAATTCAACATTATCAGTTGGTAATTATTGCTTGCTCTAGTTTGTGGAAATCTTTGAAAGAACCATACATTGTCTTCTGTGAGTCCTCTTTGAATTAAATAAAAATTTCTGCTCTAAGAGCCTATAATCCATAAACTCAGTCACTTATAGTGAATGAGCCAATACCTTCTGGCTTTTACAGATTCACTATTTAAGCAACACCAAACAGGTTTTCTTTTTTAGGTGAATCTACATAAAGATGGATCAGAAAGCTGTGTTTAAGAACTATAGTCTTAAAAAAAACCCAACAAACTTCATTTTCTTGAGCATTAGAAAGCATTCCTCAGTGAATTAACTGACATGCTTACACTTGAGGACTAAAAATAATGCAAATCTAAAGGTTTAAAAATACTCAATTTCGAAGAGATACCACAGTTACTTCCCTATTTCAACCAACAGTTATTTCTAGAAAGCTGGGGACACCCTTTTTAGAGTATTAAAGCTGTTCTTGCAATGCTCCTTTTTGAGCATTGGTCAAAGAAAAAAGCTGATGGATCTGGATGCAGATGGGAGTTAAGACTCAGAGTTGATGTGGAAAAGTAGATAAAGAAAAGACTGGGATAGAGGAAGTTAAAGAGAAGAGGTAAGGTAAGGAGGTCTTAAGTAAATAATTACTAGGAAAAAGACAAAAAAAGCTGAGGAGCAGAGCAATACAAAAGGTAGCTCCTGACATGAGACAAGCAGTTTGGGACCTTCTGTAAGTCCAAACCATACATGTAAGAGAGGAGTTTCAATCTTAATAACCCTCCTTTAAAACAATGCAACCCCTTCCCATAATGACTTTTTTTATATTAGAGTTTGGGGTTTTTTAGGTATTAGGAATCCTTACACTAAAAATAATTCACGGCAACATAAATCAGTTATATTGGAATTTATGATGCGTGTATTTTAATGTTATAAAGGCAAACTTTTTCTAACTAATTTGCAGCTCATGTGAGGAGAGAGAAACTCATTCCAACTGAAGAGATAGTTGGTACGTCATGAATAACCAAAATGCTCCCCTACCTGTTACCCTACACACAGTGTAAACAAGGACAAAATGAAAATATTCCAAAATTCTGAGAGAGCTACTCTGCCAAAGAGTCAAGCAGGCATCATCCACATTTTAGTTTACTGGCATTCAAATGAGCAGCACAAAAGCTTAAAATACTATAAAAAACTTCTTTTCCCCCTGCAAATAGAAGCTGGTATTATCTCTATCCTTCTTTCCAACCCCCAGTTCCAAGTGTGCATTTGGCAGCAATCCATTGCTCTCCAGTGACTCTGAAAGCACTGGTCAGGAAAAGCCAACAACAAACATGGAAATGGATGCAGAAGACTGAAGCTGTCGTAAAGGGTCATATTCAAGGGATTCATACTCTCCTTCCCCTATGCTAGTGGACTGTGCTGCTCTTTAGTTATTAACAGAATGGCAGCCTCAAATCCAGATATGTTACTCATACATGAATTGCATAGGAACCTCTTCTGCAAGCACTCAGGAAGTAAGATGGGCTGAAAAATATCCTATACACACAAATGTACTTCTACCCCTTGAAGGACACTGTCAAAATGACATCAATAAAACTCCAGAGGTATATGCTATAATAAACTTTCAGAATCAGAAAATACTGCAAAAGCAAAGAATGTGAGCTTTCAAACATGACTTTACCATAATAGGAAAAGTATTTTAAAAACTCAAATATTTCATCAGGAAAGACACAGCATTTAAAAACAATATTGGTTTATTTCAGGAGAAAAAAATAGCAAAAATGTTAGTTATGAAGATAATATCAGACCCAGATCCTATTATCTCAAGGACAATGCTTTCAGAAGAAAAGTCTGGACTTGATAAATTAGTGAGGGAGGTTTAGACAAACTCAATCCCATACGTAAAAAATTTTAAACAAGTTGCATAAGAGAATATGTTTTATGAAGAGATACTATAATTGAGGAGAAACTACATTAACAACTTACTCTCAGACGGGCAAGCTGAATAGCAGAAAATCCTCTCATGCCATTAACTACAGGAACCAGTCTATTATACAAAGCCTAGAAAAACCACATGAGAAGTTAATGAAAGAAAAAGCTACAACCAGGAACTAGTTAAATAAAAAGCTAATATTTTTATTTTATTCAGACTAATTTCAGTAAGACTTTCCCAGCTACATAAGTTGTGGACTTCTGGTCAGAGGTTCAAGAAACAATTCTGAGAAGGTGGTAGGCTTTTAAGCAACACCTATGACTTAACAGTCTAAATCAAATTATCAAAACTACTATGCTTTTATGTTTCATTAAATAAATGCATTCTTCTTGAAATTTGGAACCTTCTAAAACTTTAACCAAGGTTCAAATTATTCAAACTATAAGTAACATCTGCAAACTGGCCTAAATGCACATTTGTGTTGTACCAAGTAAATGGGATATGCCAGCCCTGCTCAGGTTTAACACTGTAGCCAAAAAGGAGGCTCCTTTCTTCACTTTATCCCTTCCCTTTAAAGACTGACATTTGTCTTAAGGTCACAACAGATTAGTGGAGGAAGGAGGAACTAGTATATTTTCCCACAACCCCTTCTTCTAAAGGTACATCATACCCAACTATACATCAGAGGTGTAATTTTTAACTTTAAAAGGAGTATACAAATTATTAAAAAGAATAATATTATATAAAAGAAAACATCTTTAGTACAGTCTGAAACAGCTAACAAAGTTTTGGGTATAAGATTCTTATCTTAAAGACCACCTTATGACAGCTACGGGCCAGAGAAAACATATACTATAAGAAAAATTTCCCAGCAGAACACACAATGGCTTCAGCAATAGTTTCTGTTTACACAGTGAAAATATAAAAAAAAAATCAAATGATTTTGCTTTGAAATGTAGTTTATTGAAAAAATGAAACGAAAAATATAATGTAGATATCAGAAAATAATTCTCACCTTATCAGACTGAGTGCTCTCATGCAAGACCCTAGCATCAATAGCAGCAGCCAGCAAATTATTTGCAGCAGTTATAGCATGAATATCTCCAGTCAAATGAAGATTGAACTAGAAGGTTAAAACAACAAAACCTTTTTATAAGAAATGCAATTTATTAATCTCAGGCAGATTAGCAGCAACAATCATTGCTATCTCCTTGAGACTGCAGCTCTGATTAGTCTTCTGTCAGCATAGATGAAGTATTATCAGGCTGAAAACACACCGAGCTTTATGAAGGACTTGTTTTCACCTGAGTAAATCGTAAACCACCTTTAGTTTAGCCAAATAAAGACACAAACATCTTTATTCATTGCTAAATGATCCCAGAATGAAGAGTCTAGGGCAACGGTTCCACATCACTAATACTAAATCAGTTTACTGTCAGTACTTACTAATTCACCTGGATCAGAGATGCAGATTTCTGCCTAATCCCCCAAAACACACATGCTGGCTTTGCGGGGGGGTGTATGCCAGCTTTCTTCTAGCCATGGGAGGACTGCCTATACCTGATCAGGCATTAACTTTGTTGATAAAAAGTTTGTCCAGCAAAGTTTTGTGGAAAAATCTGAAATAAGCAGTTTAGATTAGATTAGGACTTGTGTTACAGCTGTACTGTATTTTTTTACTTATCTCTGACAGAAGGCGGCAGAAGGTCAGTTTTAATTGCACTGCAGCACTAATTGCAGAGGGTTACTGACAGCCACCAACATGAGCTCTTGACTGTGCTCAGGGGATCAAAACTGTGACTAAGTGCTACATTAGGGCTCTGCTTGGACCAGCTGTGCACTTTCATTTACCAGTCTGGGCTACGGAGTGGTTTGTTGAGCTCTAAATAAGACTCTTTTGGGGTGAAACCATAGTGCATTTCCACACAAGCACTGTGGATATACACATAAGCTTAGCCATACTAACCTTACATGTCCCATTGCTCAGAGAATCTGCTTGCATTTTACACTCTGGAAACCAACACAAAACCCCACTACCAACTACAGCATGCTGAAGTCCCTGGGCACACAGCTAAACCTGCTAAGGGAGGGAGGCTAAAGAACTCTCAGTATGGCCTCAGCCCATCCCCATGGAGGTGCCCAATGTCTGTGCTAGGTCTGTCCCAGTGCCTTCAGCTGCCTATTTCTGGTTGGCGTGGGACAGACCCTGGCTGACAGGCCACCCTCATGTGGAGCCACAGCCTCTGCAGCTCCCCAAGAGCCTGCACTCGGGAAGAGGAATTTTTCACAGGAGACTTCTCTGTTTTATCACTGCTGTTGAGTCAAAGCACCTTCCTTTTACTTATTTAGCAAAAGTTGGGGCATTTACCCATCTGTAGTACCCCCACACTCCACAGCCCCTCTTCGCATCACACAGCAGGAACATGGAGAGGACCTGGACCTCTCCAAAGGTGGTCCAAAACAAGGACCACCCCAATTCTCCAGGCCAAATGCTGCAGTGACCACCTCGGCCTGCCTACCCCTCCCTGAGGGACAGGGACTTGCAGCCTCCCCCACTGTCTCACCTCCTCCATGGGTATCACTTGAGCATATCCACCACCAGCTGCTCCACCTGCATAGGAAAGCATATGGTCACATCAGACTCGCACCAGTTTTGGAAAAAAAACTCCACCACCCTTAAACACACAAAGTGTTGATGACACATTTCTCAGCATTTTAATTTCTAGTAGGTGATCAATGATGCACATAAACAAACAGGATTTCCTTAAACCTTCCTGGCTTTTTTTAGCAGGCAGTAAAAAAGGGAATTCTTGATCTGAAATGAAAGCCCACACACGATGGCTGGCCCATAGTTTGGCAACATGAGGGCTACCTCCTGCTCCTGCCCCGATTTAAGACACAGTCATGCACATGCAGCTATTGGGCAGAAAGATGTAGCAGTCACAAGCAAGCACTGCTTCTGAACAAAACCTTCACATCCTTGCCTGGGTGCTCCTTTGCCACTGCCTCTCAGGGTACAGGAAAAGGAGTTTGCACAAATTGAGTGGAAGGATTAAAGCACTCACATGCGCCAGTCTTGGCTGAGAAGCACCAAGCAACAGAAGCCTTCCAGCTGAAATCAAACTTGTTAACTTAAACTTCAGCAAAGCAAAGTAGAGTAGATGGGGAGTGCTTGCCCAGTTAGGCACCAATCTCAGCTGAGAAATGGCAAAAAAAGATTGCATTATTTCCTATCAGCATTGAAGCTTGAACTCCAGCTGGCTCTTACCTGACCCTCAGGCTCTTAAAGGGTTTCTAGGCAAAAAGGCAGCAGCCCACAATTAGGGGTGACAACTCAGAAGAACAGAAAGAAGAGTTTCAGACCTAGCCAAATGAATGATGCAGACACGGCTGTACCATAGGCATAACTGCCACCTTCCTTAGCTTGGATATTTCCAATTAATGTCAGTGTATTTAAGACTCCTTCTCAAGGAATAACTAAACAGTTACATTTAGAGACAACTTTAGAGAGTGTCCAAGCAGAGAAGTGGCTGGAAGGGTGTGTACTTGCACAAAACTCCTCCTGGCTAACACATCCCCAAGCCTTTCGTTATGTTTGGGTGTTATCTCCATTATCAATATACATTAAGTACATAAACATAGATATGAACCTTGCAGGGGAAGATGTGCGCAAGAAACCTTCACCTATTAGTTATATACTTAGCAAAAAAAAAATCCAATATGCTACCATTCAGGCATTGAGATAGTGAAGTAACTAAGGAATTAATAAAGAAAACAAAACAAAACAAAGCAAAAAAAAGAGCAGTATTTCCTTTTAATCTGAAAGAGGTCACAGAGGTCTGCAAATATTAGGTACCTTTAACTCCAAAAGTAGGTCCTTGGGAAGGCTGTCTCAGACAGGCAAAAGAGTTAATGTTAAGGTGTGCAGTAAGCGCCTGAACAAGACCAATTGTGACTGTGCTTTTCCCCTCTCCTAGGGGTGTAGGGGTTATTCTAGAAGAAAAAAAAAATAAAAATTAATCAAAATCTTTGCTGATGTCAGCCTGGTGAAGGATACTAGAACTTGCAGCTTTTTATTTCAATGTAGAATATTTGTACAGCAAATTTCAATAAGATTACTTTATCTCCACAAAAATTTTGTCATGATGTTAGCTCCTAGCTCAAGCTGGAATGCTAATATACATGTGTCTTTTATTTAAGCAATTTATTATGATAGCAGAAAAACAGAAGATTATTCTGGCAAAAGTTCTGAAAGAATATATTGAATTTAGATGTTTTTATTACAGCACAAAAGTCTCACCAGTTTCATTAATAAACCATCCATCAAGATACTCTGAGCACATATTAATACTTTTCTGTAGTAATGCATGAGATGCTTTACTGCCACTGCTCAAACTTTGAATGAAGTAATAGAATACTTTAAATTAAATAACTGACATACTTGTTTGTAGAGCTCAACTACTCTTCTCTGGCTTCCATGTCATCATAACCCTCAACAATGACAGATCAACTGCTTTTTAAATAAAACAGGACACAAAAGTCACTATGTTCAACTGAACTTTATTTATTTCAGATTTATGTTTCATGGTATTTTTGCAGATTTAAGGGTGTTGAGGGACAACTGCAATCACACTCCAACCTCCCATACAAAAGCTCAAAAACCTCAAGCTACAACTCCCACATCTAGACTAAGATTGAGACAGGACAAAATTTTAGAAAGACACCTAATCTCGAATCGGAGACTCTAACCTCCACTTAAAGACTCAATTCTTGTCCCTCTAATGAAGGGGCAATGACAGCTGATTTTGCAAGTAGAAAACTTCATCAGCCTTCCATGAATGAGACACACCTCAGTTTAACTGATGTCCTCCCTACTTTCAAGGTCAACGTATTTATTTATGATCTATGTTAAAAGTGCAGAGTTGGGTTTTTTCCTTTTCCTTCTCCCCCCCCCCTCCTCCTTAAAGTATGAACACATCTCACATTTCCAAAATGCATTGATGTGATTCATCTGAGGCACAACATTTCTCCTTCTGCCTAGCAAAAGAAAGCCTCAGTCCTTTTTCCACACACACCACTATCACACAAGTTTTACTTTTTGGCAAACCAAGAAACCATTCATATATTTGCTGCCCTTGCTACTTGCAGAGCAGTAAGTACCTTAGTGAAGCTGATGTTAAGAACTAATGTTCATTCCCAAAGAAATACAAGCATGCACAAGCATCCTAGTCAAAGAGAAACCCTTATCCTATGACCTTTTCAAAACTTGAGCTAAAACATCAAGCTCTAATTAGAAACACTTCCTTTCCCAACTAGTAATTTTTTCAAGATATTGCTATCCTCAGATCACAATTAAAAGGCATAAAAACATTAGTAAAATTGTCAAATGCAAGGACACATCTGTGTTTTCTCCTTGCCTTTAAGATTCAGCTTAGTTCAGACAGTTCACAGATTGTCGAAAGCCCTTCTTTGTCCCATAAAATGTAAATATATGAAAAACATTAACTTGTCAGAAATCTATCTTTTACATCATCATCCAATCCTGGGCCTTTTGTTAAAAAGAGAAGACTTTGTTATATATGTCTGGTAAAACTTGGGCAATAGGAAGCAAGCAAAATTAACAACTTCTATACTGTTCTAGGAAAGAATTTTCCTGTTCAGAAAAGTAATGTTTTAACTCAAGTTCCAGTGAAATCAATGGAATTCAGTACATCTCTAAGAGATTCCCTGAACAGAGATTCTTCAGAAATAGTATTTTGTCTACTGATAACTTTGAATTACTCTTATATGACTGATAGAGAGAACTGTAACACTTACAAAGAAAATTACAGCTTGGGGCTAACATAGCTTGGGGGAATAATGCTTAAGAGTTAACAGGATAATAATAACAAAACAAACAAAAAAATCAAAAAAGAAACTATTCTGCTATGAAAAAGACACCTGTTATGACACCAGATAACTGTTAACTGGAAGTTACCAGTAAAGGACTTCCCACAACACCCAGAACCTCAGTGCACACAATGGCTGGACTGTTAACAGAACAACTTCTATTTGCAGTGGGTGGTTACCTCTATTTTTGAGCATCAGACACAAGAAGGTCACATTCAAGAGAATTCTGAGACACAATCACTAGGTTATTTACTCAAGTGCAGCTCAAAACATGGCAGAAAGCTGACTTGGCGCACCCAGTAGCACAAGGACTCTTTACAACTCTCATGAAACGAGCAAAACCAAAGATGCAGTCTACCATTCAGTAAAGGAAAGGAAAATGGAATTGATAAATGCATAACCAGAAGGCATGATGGTAGTGTTGTATGAAGAAGAGTATCTACATGTTGCAGAGGATACACAGAATCAAGTGTCACATTACTAAAATGCTCTGGTAACCCAGCTCACCTATTCTAAAATCACAGAATCACAGAACGTTAGGG